CATAGATGGAACTGGTAGAGGAAAGGAGCCAGGGACTCCTCCTAAGCCCATGTGACCCCTGAGGAACAGATCCTCAAATGACCTTAACAGTAAAAATAAATTGGTTTATCTGGGCCAACTGCATGGTCTTAAACACCCAAATAGAAAGTAAAACCAAAGATTAAAGGGGCCAATACAATTCTTTAAGAGTCCTTGTGTATAGCTAACGGCTACATAACAAGAAACAATGACAGACAGGAGATACCTTCCTTTGAGTTATTGGCCAGGGTGGCCCAAGAGATTCCTAGACAGTAACCCAGCATAGAACTGGGAAAATGAACAGCAGACCCCAATCTTATCTAAAGGAATATTGGCAACTGATTGCTGCTAGATGAGGAACAGCTGATCTTCCTTAAACAAGGAACTCTAGATAGGCTGACTAGACTCAGCAGGTGGACAAGCACTGGGTAATGGCTGGAGGCACTGATAACACAGTGGATAATAACAGGGATGACAGAGTATATCAGCTCCAGTGGAGGTGGGGGGCATGGGAGGGTGTCACTTGGGATGTGGGTATATAGAGTGATAAGATTGTTTGGGATGTTCTATATGAAATACACACAAAAAAATCAATAAATTTTTTAAATGAATTATATTTGAGGAAGAAGCTAAAAATTTGCTTCATGTTAATTAGTAGATGTGAAAAACATTACCATTGAAATCTACCTGATGGCTTTATATCCATGCCCAGGTGCCAAGGATCTCAGAAAGTAACCGACTGTGACTAGTAATAATCAGATATGTAGAGATTAGAGACACATGTGCAAACATCTAAGCGTTAGTTGTATTAAGAATGAGTTTTTCTGCATGAAACAGTATATTTTAATAATGAAATGGAGATCTTTTTTAAAGGTTAAAACCTCATTCAATTTTATGTCATATAGGGTTTATACTGAGTACAATATTGTATAACTGTAATAATTCAACTGTAAACCTAAAAATTTACAGCCAATTTTGAAAGAGATGCATCTTAGCTCTGGAAATTGTTATTGAATATGTCAATGCTGTTGTAATGAAATGCTTCTACTAATTATGTGGTTACTAAATAATAAAAAAAAAAGAGTAGGGGTGACTCAAAGCAGCTATATCACTGAAAAGCCCATGCAGCACGAGGACAAGAATGTTTCAGTTCAGAAGAAACTGCTCTATAATTTTAACACACACACACACACACACACACACACTCACACACACACAGAGAGTATTTATTTACTTATACTCCTGGGGGATTGAACCCAGAGCTTCTTGCATACTAGGCAAATACTCTACAGCTGAGCTATAACCCCAACCCCCCCCTCCCTCCCTCCCACCCTCCACTCTCCCCTTTCCTGTCTCCTCTCTCCCTCCTTTCTTTCTATTTTTCTTTTTTGAGACAGGGTTGTATGGTCTGGAACTCACTATGTAGACCAGGCTGGGCTTGAACTCACAGAGATCCCCCTGCTCTGCCTCCCTGGTGCTGGGATTAAAGGCAACACAATTGGCCCAAACCTTTCTTTTAGTTTTTAAGATCTGGTCTCACTAGTAATCCAAGAATTCAGCATGGTCTCACCTCAGCCTCTGAGTGCTGGGATCGTGCCTGGCTTTGATTCTGTTTTTGCCGGGAATAATTTCCATTTGGATCTGCTCACAGATCCAGTTTTCATAGTTGGTGGCTGGGAGAATTTTCCACAGACCATCTTCTGGCTCTCTCCACTTAAAACCTGTTTCTCTTCCAGCACCCACATCCTAACTGCTGTAGCTCAGTCGTGATACAAGGTGGGCAGTCCAATTATTCCTGGAAGTTATTCCTGCCCCAGTAAACCCTATGTGTGGAAATAGAACAGCTCATTAAAGTCACACCAAATGTATTGCTAACCTAACTTCTCGGGATCCCAAAGGCCCCCAGCCTGTTGGGTGCTCCAGGACACCCCAGAGAGTGTGACAAATGGAGAGTCATAGTGGGAAGCTATAGCAGTGTTTTGTTTTGTTGTTGTGGGTTTTTTTGTTGTTGTTGGGGGGGGGTTTGGTTTTTGTTTTTTTTTTGTCTTTTTGAGATAGGGTCTCCCCCTAGCGCCAGAGATCCGCCTGCCTTTGCCTCTTAAGTGCCGGGATTAAAGGCATGCGCCACCACACTCGGCCTAGTGTTTTGTTTTTAAACTGGATCTAACTATGTAGCCCAGGCTGGCCTCGAACTCACAGTGAACCCCTGCCCATGCCTCCTGAGTGCTGGAATTATAGGTGTCATCAGCCTTCAGGCCTCACTGCAGTCTTAATAGATTACAGCTCAGAGCTTTCTCCAATTTTACACACCCTGATAAAAATGGGCGTTCATTAGTGGGGTTCCTTCAAGGGCTGTGGGAGGATTTCTAGTAAATGAGGGGCCTAAAACTTATTAAGCTTTATTACTTCTGGGCTGGTGCTCTGGGTATGCCTGAGAATTTGGTTGTGTGTGTGTTTTCGTAAACAAAGAGCATCAGAATCTCAGAGGGCGGGGCACAGAGTACAAGAGTCTAGGAGCGTCCCCCTACCCTCATTCCCCTTGACCTTGAGCAAGTTCACCCTCCTCCCTCCGCGTCTCACTCGTCGTCGGCGATGCCACCCCGTGGCTCCTAGAGGGCACCAGAGCCTTGTGTCAGACGACCCGGATGCAGCCCTGGCGACCGCGTGGACTGGGTTGTCGAGGGGAGTTCCGAGCCTGGCCCCCGCGGGCTTCCGGTGACGTGCATGGTGTGTGGCAGTAGCAAGTACCACCCCTGTAGGCAAAGGTCCAAGTGACTATGGGGACAGACCCCTGAAGCACAGAGCAGGCACAAGTCACAGCCAGGAGCGGGGTCATGTGTCCACCGCCAGGTGGCACCATTGAGCGCATACAGAAACTGAGCTCAGGGAACCTGGACCTCCGGAGGTCAGGGAGAGGTCCCTCCTGTAGCGGGCTGTCCTTGGGGACTCTAACAGACCCCCAGGAATGACCACGACACTCCTGTTTCTGGTTTAGGGTGTCTGACACAGGGCAGTTCGGTCGGTAGATGATGCGGTGGTGCTTGTGACCAGGTGGGACTATGCACCTGTGTGGACACGCCACCCAGACCACAAATGCAACATTTGGGCCAACAGCTGCTTCCTGTGGCCTGTGCTGGTGGCATGGAGACTCTTCTGACAAGCACTCTGCCACTGAGTCACACCCACAGCTCCCTGAATTGTGCATTTAAAGAAAGGATTTATTCATTTTATTTTTTGTGAATGAATGTTGTCCTCGCTTATATGTAAAGTGTACCACGTGCAGGGAGGCCAGAAGAGGATGTCAGATCCTCTGGAACTGGAGCTTCAGACAAGTGTTAGACACCATGTGGGCGCTGGGAACCAAACCTGGGTCCTTCCTTTGCAAGAGCAGCCAGTGCTCTTAACTGCTGAACCATTTCTCCAGCCCTTGAATTGTGAATTTTTTTTTAAAAAAAATGTTTTATTATTTTTATTTTATGTGTATGTGTGTATTGCCTGCATGTAGGTAAGTGCACCTGTGTCATGCAATGCCCGCAGAGGGCAGAGAGGCTGTAGGATCCCCTGGAACTGGAGTTAGGGACAGTTGTTAGCGGCCATATGGGTGCTGGGATTCGAACCTGGGTCTTCTGCAAGAACAACCAGTGTTCTTAACTGCTGAGCCATCCCTCCAGCCCCTGAATTGTGCATTTTATAAGTGGTTACAATGGTAAATTTAATGATGTGTATATTTTTTTGCAATAAAAAATGTCTGGTTTTTGGTCTTTTTCTCTCTCTCTTTTTTTTTCCTTTTTTTGGGGGGGGGTCTTTTTGAGACAGGGTCTCCCTGTAGCCCCAGCTGTCCTGGAACTCACTATGTAGACCAGGCTGGCCTCGACCTCACAGAAATCTTCCTGCCGCTGCCTGGGACCAAAGGCGCACGCCATCACACCCAGCTGACAATAAAAATATTTTAATGATTAAAATGCTTCATTGTAAACTGGGTCTCATGTGGCAGGCCTGTAATCCCACTATTCAGGAGGCTGAACCACATCCCCAGACCTTGGTGTCTGAGCCAGGCTGCTCTGGGCTACAGAAGGAACCAAAATCTCCCTGCCCTGATGTTGCTGGGGGCTCATAGGCGGTCTTCTGTGGTTTGTAGTGTTGTGTTTTTTTCTTTTTTGGTACTGGGAATGTAATCTCAACCTTTCACATGCTAAACAAGTACTCTCCCACTGAGCTGCATCTTTGTCTATATAATCTCTTCTTGTTTTTTTATTTATTTTGTTTTGTTTTTTTTGTGTGCGATGGGATCTCAAGTAGCTCAAACCAGCCTCCAACTGATAGCTATAATAATCCTACCTCAACCTCCTGAGTTCTGGAATTACAGGCAGACACCACCACAGTCGGCTCTGAATAATCATCTTTT